AATAATAAATATAAAGAAAATTATACCATCGACAATAATTATTATTATACTAACAGATTTGGAAGCATATATAATTATTATAATACTAATAACAAATAATGATAATTATATTAATTAATAATATAGTAATTTCTTAGAAAACCCTCTGGCAAATAGGTGATCAATAAAACAATAACCCTCTGGCAGCGAAAGGGTTAAGAGTATATTCTAATTAAATGTGAAATATCATTATTTTAGTAGAAGTATTGTTATAAAATGTTTACGATAGTTTCGTAATATTGGCCGCAAAGACCAATAGTTCAATTAACGGGGTGAATTGCATGTGTATTTCTTTTTTCTTTGAAAAAGCTTTGAATTTCATAAAAATGCTGAAGCTGAAGACTTACCGACTTACCTTGTTTGCTTCACATATGGGGCACAAGTGCACATCTGAATCAGCGGAAATACACGTATTTTTTTCCTACCGATGCTCAATTTTGAGATCCATATGTAGTCACCCTCGTGCAATAGAGTTCACATGGAGGCCGTTATCGACGTCATTAGTACGCTGGATTTAAATTATCAAATAAGTGTTAGCCTAATTGTTGCACATTGACATTATATACATGTACGTTCATGTGTATATATAGTTATACTAATTTTTTTTAATGGAATAAAGAAAAAACTACCACTACTTCTTCAACAAAATTAATGTGTGTATTTTTGTTATCTAATACTCTTGGCATTATAATATCTTATTATTAATATTGAATCCGACGATCTCATCGGCTCCATAGCTCAGTGGTTAGAGCGCCTGTCTAGTAAACAGGAGGTCGAGGGTTCGATCCCCTCTGGAGCCTTTTAATTTTTTTTTAACCTGCTCTTCTATATTCACCTCAGCGATATTGATATTTCTGTTCAAAAGGCGACCTTTAGCTTAAATCACTTAAAATAATAATAAAAAAAAAAAACACAAAAAAAAACAAAACATGTTTTGTCTTTGCATTTTTACTTCACTACGCGTGTTAGTGGTTTGAGAATGTTTTTTTCCTTCATATTTCATACTTCTGCTTTATTATAAAAAATGGTTCCACACCACACTTCGTGAGTCTCTCCAATTTGGACATCATTGCGCATGCGTGTCTTAAGAGTGGTGCTGTTCATATTTTTCGTTCTCAAATTTATATCACCGTACCGTGCTACTGAAAGCTTTCCTATGTTAGTCGTTTAATGATTTTTACAAAAAAGTAATTTATATTACGTTTTCCATTCGTCATAAAACATTAAAGTTTGTAAAGCGTAGCTTTGAATATACATTAAACTTCAAAAACGAGGAAAGATTATATCTGGATAAACGTCAAATATAACATTATTTGCTAGATTTATGTTCATTATGCCGTTAATGTAAGGGTGTACGCGGTTACACGCAATATACCCAGTCATTCTATAGACGAACTTTTTTTATCGGTAAAATCGTTTATATTCAAATGTCTTCTTTTAAAATGTTATTGCAATTTTATTGGCACGCCAATCAGTGTTTCAAATGCACGGTGCTGTATTTTGTCACTATAAAATATTTGCTAGATGCATTCTTTTCGTTTTGTACTTTAAAGGCACATTTTGTATCTTTAATGTAATGCCTCAGAAACAAATTAATGTGTCCTTTTGTGGAAAGGGCTCACATAAATGTTATCCCTTTTAGATAATGGTTTAGAACATTCAAGGTGTTTTATCACATGAAATTAGTAGCGCTGAATGTGAAATTATTTGTAATAAAAGTAGTAAAATGTAAACAAAGTAGTATTTGACTTCCAAACAAAACACTAAATCACTAAAACTCTCCTCACTGCCCAACAGCAACTGAAGCAAAATATTGTTTAGATAAATAGCAAATTAGTACCATTTTGGGAACTGTAACAGGACCCTTAGAAATAAAAAGTTTTTGAGAAATAAAAGAAAAGCATTCCTGGAACATAATCGGCCCTTAACAAGAAAAAGCCCGTGCATGAAATAATTCACAATGCGCATTGAAAGCAGCACGCCTCTAAATTCATGTTAATTTTCATGAAAATTTTGGAAATGTATTTAAAAGTAAAATATTGTGAGGTGAACAAATAAAGTAATTTACATATTGCAATCGGCACTTACAATCCAAGAAAATTACCAAAAAGTCGTCAACATATGCAAAAATAGCCCTTACTGCGTTAGTAACGCAGTAGAAATATGGTAATAAAATACTGCAAAATCAGTCTTAAACCGCACATAACATGAAAAATATAACTTGGATCTTGAATATGTTTACCTTTCTTAAAACTTTAGTACATTTTTCACAATATTGATTTTCTTGAAATATTTTGGCTCATCTGAAGGCGTGCAGCTTGAAATCGGCACATTAGGTTCATATGACTTTTGTATTGTATATATAAGTAAAACCCAACCAAAAAGGCAACATGAAAAAACATCTAAAAGTTCAGTTGTTTAAAATATTTCTTGAACAAAACTGTTTATTCTTCATGATTTAGTATGGCATTTATATGATGAATTGTTAATACTTTGTTCTAGAACAATTTATCATAAACATCCACAAATGAGCCGTGTCACCACAAAACCAACATAATGCGTTTGCGACCAGCATGGATCCAGACCAGCCTGCGCTTAAGCGCAGTCTGATCAGGATCCATGATGTTCGCTATCAGTTTTGCTACTTGTAATAGGGTTTGTAGGCGAACAGCATGGATCCTGATCAGACTGCGCGGATGTACATGTATGTCAGGGTGATGAACCACTAAATTCGTCATGTACTATTCAGGGGATATAATCTTATTATCACGCTGTTCAAAATAAAAGTAAGAGTTGTCTTTCTTATTCTTCCTATTGAACTTAAGTATATGCATGCATTTAATTCTGATAGTCTTCTTGTTTGTGAGTAGTCATCTAATTGCTACATTTTCCTCGAAGTCTCCCTGCGCTGTGACCACTCAGAACACAAATGTTATTTCCTTGTTATAATACGTAAACTTATATCAACTTCCTTCTTGCGGTGCGTGCTTAGGTTTACTAAAACAAAATAATTAATTAAGTGTTTTACATCCTTATTTTTATAAACTTTGGTAAATAGATCAATATCGTACTTTAACATTTCCAATGTGCATATGTAGAATTTAAAGATCCTGTATGTTATGATCAAAGTGGTAAACCACATTAAGTGAAATTATATAATATGTACATAATTATGCAAAAAAACAATTTTCAAACATCGAAGAATATCTAAAATATGTACTGCAAATATTTGTGCATATTATATGTAATCAATAAAATAAATGCAATAATTTCTTTTTGTAAAATTTGACTTAAACTTTATAGAAAATAAAGCTTTTATTACCTCCCTTTATTAACATGAAATGTTAAATTTGATAATATCTTTATAAATAATGCTTTTTGGAACCTACAATATTGCTAAAACCATAAAAATGTCTTACAGGATCTTTAATTGATGATGACACACCCACTTGATGCACCCAAACACCAAAAGCAGGGTCTTTCAAATTTGAAAGACCCTGACCAAAAGTAAAAGAAATAAATATGTATGTCATTTCTGTCAGACTTGATACTGTATATCCATGTGTGAAGCATTGAATGTTTTTCTAGATAAAGATAAAGTGTGTGATATAATATATTGTTCAAATATGATAAACCCTTAATTTGACAATAGGCAATATATCACTGGTCAAAAAAATTATAAATGGACCGAATTATAAATGTCCGCAGACTGGCAGTATAGCCACTTACAAAAAAAAAAAAAAAAAAAAAACCTTAGTTAATTATCCCGGGACAACCAATATTCAATCAGTTAAGCTGTTTTTAGCCAATAATAAATGGAAGCGGAAATTATACTTTAAATTTATTTTAGCTATTAATGCATCTATTAACACTTATTCATTTTCAGGTTGGTACATTTTCAACAAGTCTTGATCTTTCTTAGAAATTCAATAAAAACAATAGGACCCACTCGGGTTACTCCCAGGAATATTTTAACCTAAATTCAAACACCAGGGTAATCACCATGGAAAATTTGTTAAGGATAAATCAGGGCCACTAAAAATTGTAGAAAACTTCATATATAGTCTATTCAACGATTTTCAACAGATTTTTCAAGATTTAAAAAAACTGACACTAAATGTTATAACATATGTATAGCACAATGCATTGGTATGACTACTGTTAATGTGCATAAAAGGCAGTTAAAGGTGTCATTTCTTAGTACGCTATTTGGGGTGCAAAATGATTAATGCATCCAATCTTTACAGCCATTTTACCTTCCCCACTTTATAATATTAGCAAATATGGAAACTTGTCTAGATCTACCAGCTGGTATCGCTTACAAAACAATTATTCTACAATCATCACATGAAAAAATTTGATAACAATATAAGATTTTATTAATAAGGACCCCCGTGTAAAGTCTGATGAATATTCAGTGGTACATCATATTAATAAATGTTTTAAATACACCTAGGACTGAGGTAAATGGTAAAACTCTTTAGCCAATACTTTATAAGAAAATTAACTTGCTTAGAAAATTTTTTAACACTATTTTTAAACAAGTGACTATTTTGATATAGTGAAAGATGGACAATTTATATTGTGTCACTTAAAACAAACAGTTTCTTATTGTTTTTCTGAAAACATCTGACAATTAATCAAGTGTGGCATTTCTGCAAGTTTTGAAGTTAATACAAAATGTGACTTTATGCAATTTAGTCAGGCATGACATCAGTGCCACAGAATTAAGAATGTGTTTGAATTTAGGTTGTGATTGAAAATTGGTTGTTTCGGGATACTTTAAGTACAGCACTCGTATCTTCTATGTGTCATAATTCATTATTTTCTCACTTTCAGTTCTAATTTGTTTGAATTAATATGATTAAATTTATATGTTTAATGTAGGCAAGTCTGCATTATAAAATTAAGTCGATGCAACGAAAGAATACATTAGACGGGCCTCATTTTAAGCAGTTACCCCCCTTAGATCTTGACTAGTAAAGCGCTCAATGAAAGAACAGCGTTGCAAGCGTTTGAATAACCGATTCCAAAATACTTCCTGCTTTGCGAAAAAAAAGTCAAGAACATTTTTTCACGTAAGTTTTCTTTATTTTAATTGTGTTTGAATTATTTTTTGTCAACTCATGTTTAAGAGCCATCATTTGTATAAACGCTTTAACCATTCGAACTGAAATTTTTTAGTGTCGTTTCAGAAATCTTCAATAATTTTGTTTGCAGCAAAAGACTTCCTGTTTTGTAAAGGCACAGAGTCACGTTCATTTGCTTTGATTAATTAGGTTAGATTAATTGAAGGTTTCAGTTGATTGATAAAGTGCAAATGACATTGCATATGCATAGGTTGATTGGGTCCAATTACTCCAAGTAATTGGTAAATTTTAAAAAACAATGTTCAGAATTGTATTAAATTTTTGGCATTTAATCAATACACTAGTTGACAGTTTCCGAATTAGCAGACAACAGACTTTTCTTATCAGTTATTTTGTGTGTAAAGATTATGGGCTGCGTATCTCTGTATAAATCGTATGTAAAATGACCTGATATGTGGTAGCTTTTAACAATTAATTTAAATACTTTTAGTGTCTAAAGAGATGTTGAACTTGAATTATATCCTTAGATGAAGCTATAAGATCACAAACTTTTCATTGGTGTAATAAAATTGGACAGTTAATCACAATTAACTAGCGGTTTTAAAAAGGCAAAATTTGTATTGTTTTAGCATTAATTAGAGTCTGACTCTGAGATATTGATTTTACTCGAAGATAAGGGATACAACTCGATACCCAGCAAACAAAAGACGTTGTACCAACGTTGTACTGACGTTAGACCCTGACGTTGGGTAAACGTTGGCAGAAGGTTGGATTTGAAAGTTTTTTAGACGTCAGAAAACCGACGTCTATACAACGTCATATAATGACCTTTATCCAACCTTTTCTGACCATTATCTGACCATAATCCAACCTTTTCCTGACCATTATTTGGACATAATCCGACCTTTTCTGACCATAATCCAACCTTTTCTGACCATTATCTGACCATAATCCAACCTTATCTAACCAAATTTTCTGACCATGATTTAGACACTTACCTCATTCAAAACTTTTGGAATACGATTTTTTTTCATAATAGGGTAAACAAATAAGCATTCTTATAATTTTAGCAATTTATTTGTATACTCGGAATCACAAGTTCCAAACAAGAAATTTGGTACGATAACAAATGCAAGATTTACATAATATTTTTTGAAACTATTAAACTTGAAAGTATGTACTTAAATAACGCTTTATGTATTAAATAAGCATGTTTTAGAAATTAGATACACAAAATCCTTCTTGAATATTACCACTGACATTTTGTATAGTAAACATCCATATCATGTGTTTTTTTTTATATCACCACTGATCATGAACTGATCACCCTGATTTTGGGATTTTCCAATCATCTATCCAGTTCACTGATTGTATATTTGTCTTTGTATTTTATAACTGAATCTAGATCTGAATGTTAAATGGAACAATATTCTGAATATTTTGTTATTACTATAAATAGCAATGTTAATGTATCTTCTTTCGTCCTCCTCCACTGTGTTGATCTGGGGCATACTTTAAGCGTATCATTACCTCTCCAACCTGAGATCACATCACACTTTCTGAAATTAAAAAAAAAATAATAAAATAATCAGTTACAAGTGCAAGAAATGAATCACTTTTACATATTATAATTTAACGAAATTCTGACAAACTCTCCAACTACTTAAAAAAAGATATTTATTATTTTCTATCTAGTTTAAACCATATGTAGTTAAGTGTACCTATATATTTATTGATTTTGATAAAAATGGCTTCGTGAATTTCATTATAAAATCAAGGGTAATTAGATCACTGTATTTTCTATAATATTTTGAAATATACCTGTCACAAAATCTTGGTAGGTTTTCATTTTTCTTTTCCTTTTAACACTTTCATCTTCCTCCTGAACTTTTGCCAGATGTTGAATTATTATAATTTCCACAATCTGAAAGACGAAATATAATCATTTTAGAATTAAACCATGTAGTGGAAGGATGTTTGTCTACTACAATAGACAAAATCCAAATACTATTAATCTTAGTTAACTCATAAGGGCATGAAAAACTAACATAACAAATACCAAATTAATTCTACTCCCGCAAAAAATTGACATTGTTATTTTTTATATTCAATGTAATTTATACAAATTTTCATACAACATCAAAGAAATTCACATGTTACTGTAATTTTTATAGATATCATCTCTGCCCAGCATGATCCGATCTGCTAAGTGTATATTGGACAGACTGGCTTAGTGTACAAACGTTTTATGATACGAGCATATAACTTGTTGATAAGCAGGCTAATTAACAAACTATTACTTTTATTGATTTATAACTATGATAATGTGTTTTCTGATTTATAATATGTTGTTTGATTACATTAATAAAAAGATAGCTAGTCAAAAACAATGTGATTTCAGATATATCTTACCAAAGCCGTATCATTTACATGTATCAATTGCCATGAATCATTATCATTATATAAGAAACACATGGTATGCTTACAGTATTGGTAAAGTACTTCAATTAACAACGAGTAGTTTAACAACTACACAGATATCAAAATCAAACTGTGCATCTGATACATGTGTAAATGACTGGCCCCTTATGTAAGGGAAATTCATGTTGATAAGAAATAAGAGGGAATTTTATTTACCAGCATTTGAATAATAAGAGTCTAACGTACTGCATTTAACTTTTTATTGATTTCAATTGCTAGGATATTTCCTACCATTGATTGTGCATTTATTTGGCTTGGCGATATAGTGTGGGAAAAATGATCCGGTGATACAGACTGTTCTATAGTAAATAATTCAGTGCTCTTACGAGGAAACAAAAATGTTTATCTCGCGAAATCACGTGACATTAGGTTTTACCAGTCAAACATTACAATGATCAAAAAGCCATCGAATCCATGCAAACATGCGGTAAATAGAGGATATTGAATGAGTGTAAGTTCAATACTGAATTTATTGCACGAGTTGAATAAAATTATATTATGCGAGCCTCTGGCGAGCATAATATTATTTTATTCAACGAGTGCAATAAATTCAGTAATGAACTTACACGAATTTAATATTCTATTTATCACATACAAAAAATTAAGACCATTTATAGTGAAAAAAGAGTCATTTTTCATTGACGCGCCTATAGTATAGCGCTAACATTTAGCGCGTCTTTACACTATGTTTGTATAACGCTAATGACGTCACGTCAAAATATATGCACGGCCGTGCAATACCATATTTACGGAGTCGCAAAATCGGCACGGGTGTGTGATAAATTAGCATTGAAAACAATATATAATGTTTGCCTACCTTTTCATTTTGTTTGGAATATTCAACTTTGTCTGTCAACTCGTTGTTTTTTGTCCGCCAATACAATTGAATTTCAAATCCGATATATGTCGCCAATTCGAATTTACTAAATTATTTACAACTATAAAATAAAGCCCTCAAAAATGATAACAACTTCATTGTAAATTATATAAACACTACTTAGACTAATTCGAGGAGATAAGATATTATTTAAACGAAAATAGAGCAAATATATTTCATACTGATCTGCGACTATCCGTTTACCGAGCGCCACCTAGCTATCGAATATCGTACGTAGCCACCCACGTGATACTGTTATTGTTTTGATAGAGAAAATAAATATATCATTTTTCCCTTTCTAAACTTAAATTCAAAATTCTAGCTGTTTGTGCTTTCATTTATATATATATTGGTTACATAAACTAAATTCACCTATTGTCAGATTACCGACCAAAACCCGACGTCGAGTCGACGTCAAAATGAAACGTCTGTTAGACGTCGGAGATTCAACGTCGGTTTAACGTTGTATGAAGGTCACCGACGTCGCGACCAAAATTCAACGTTGATCCAACGTTGTGTCAACGTCGGGTGTTTGCTGGGTATATGTCTTTTTTTTTATACTGGTTGGAGAGATAACTCCGACACTAAATCACATATTTTTTGCAATATTTTAATTATCTTCCAGTATATTTTAAATATTTAACCACCTAAACAAAGTTCAGTTCAAAGACTTTACATTACACCACAAAAACTATGTATGAAAATGGAATCTGGTACTTCTTGAAGGTCTTGAATGAGGTATACAAAACATGGTCTTTTTACCCCACAACAGTAGATAAAGTCGACACTTAATTTTTTAAGTAAAAAATGACTGGAAAATCAGCATCAATAATTTATTTTTACATCTTATATGGTTTATCTATTTTTTGTAAATATTTAAACAATTTTTCAAAAATCTTTCCCAAGTCAGAGGCCTGTGGTCAATACATTTCTAACTACCTTACTGTAATTTAGTAAAAAGAACGTTTTGAAGCAGTTTTTGCCTACAAAAAGTTTAGGTTATTTGAAAAACATTAAAAAGTCTACCAAATTATAACAAATCATCACATTCTGTCCTGTTCCTATACTGTTAGGTGATCATGTGCATATTTGTTGAAAAACAAAGCTAAAACAATTATATTTATCAAGTGACGGGATTATCTATGCGTCGGAGTTATCTCTCCGACCAGTATACCTTTGTTTTTATTTACGCATTTTATATACTAATGTAGGAACTGTCAATGGGTGTGTTATATTTTTATGTTTTCTGGTGATGGTTGATATATGCTGTAGTGTTTCTGGCAATTTCCGCAAAGTTGGCAAATTTTTGATCACCTTGGAAAACTAGTTGGGAAATAAAGTTGTGTACTAAATGTCTATCATTATATGCTTAAATAATGTCACTGTATACACAATTTTACATTACGTTTACCATTCAATTTCTTCCTTTTCTCTGAGAATTCTGTAAGAAAACTAACTTAGCTCATTTATGTTTTCCAAGTTTGTTTCATAATTTACTTTTTATGAATCCAAACTTTAAAAAAAAAAAAAACTTTTGGAAGCTGAACATTCAGGCATACACTCCAGTCTTCTAGTGAACTGAAAGAGCAATGGATTTAAGCAACATATATTTGTTCAAATGCCATTCCGTGACTCTACTGATTGAACTATCCGGCTGCTTATACATCTTCTCCCTTTCATAGTGAACAGTTCTGAATTGTGACATACTCCTCTGCTATATTACAGTTTTCCTGAAGCCATGTTGTTGGTCAGCCAATATGTATATATGACCAGTAAGGCTCCAACGCTTACATTTTTTGTAAACTTTTACACGATTACTAAGAACCGAAACAATACCCTTTAAACGGTGGTACATGTACTTCTATCATCTATGTACTATACTACACATGTATTCAAGTCGCAAATGATGACTTACTTTCTTTTTTTAACACATGTACAAATAAAGAATGTTCAGGGCTCATCACGATTGAGTCAGCACACATTTTCTGCATTGTATCCTCATTTTGCTGTTTTGAAAAATCAAAATAAAATCAACTTTACCAAAAATGTCACAAGCGATCATTGCACCGTAATGCTGTGTGGAGGGATGTAAACACCTAATTTCCGTTTTTTTTTTACTTTGGAATAAACCAATTAGAATTAATAGAATTCATGAATACAGGCAATCAATAAGATATTTTGTAAGATAATATGGTCATTTCGATTAAACGGTAAAAATTATTGTATACGTTTACAAATGAAAATCGAAACGAATCTGTTTTAACGTGTAACTGAGGGGGCCTTAATGTCCAGGTGCGATGTAACTTCAGTGTGGCAGTGTTTTACAACATATTAACGTTAATGACATTGGTGGATAATTAGCAGGGTTGCTGCAATCCCTTTTCTAGAAGATTTGGGGTTAACATGGGCTGACTTGCCTATAAAAATAAGGCAAAAAATCAGCTTGTAACTTATCTGGCCCAGATGGCTTGTGGGTTTCAAGGTCCTGTAGTAGATTCCTGACACCATTCTCACTATCTGTATCTTAATTCTTTAATATATTATGTTTTATGTGTTCTTCGTGAAGACATTGTTAATTGGTCCAGTAAGCCAACACTACTTTTTTTAAATGATTATTTAAATATAGAATGATTTTGTTTCATAATACTATATGACATGAACATCTTTCATGTAAATTGTATTACAGGAAAGAAGCAAAGGACCATGGGATACATTACATCAGCTGAGAGCATCAAGCTTACCTTTCCATGATAAGCATTCATTGTGACATAGTTTTTATTTTGTGGTTGTGACATCTATAAGGTGTAAGAAAAATGAGTCGCGAGGGGAAGGAAATTTTGATGGACTTCATGTTAAAGAGGGCAATGAACAAAGGAACAGTATTTACGTCACAGAGTTATAAGGAACGATGGTTTCAGCTCACTGACAGTAGCCTCACATATTACAGTGGAACTTTAGCTGTAAGTTAAATAAAAAGAAAAATTCAATATGTTTACTTATTGAAGCCTAGTAAAAATATATTTCAACAAGTAACTTTATTTAAAGACAGAAAAGGAAGTAATGAAAAATAATTGGCAATGAAATAATGTATCAATATGTAACATGTATCTTCTCCAGAAAGTGGCCTAAAAGAAACTTAGTTTTAGGGACAGGTAACTCAAAATGGTATGATGTTGACCCCAATTTTTCTTCATCAATTTTGCTTCATGAATCTTAAATCTCTTTAATCATGCAAAGTTTAAGGAAATTTTCTATACTACTTTAAATTTTCCTTCTTTGCCTTTGTAAAATATTGCATTACTCTTGGAATTGTCTTAAATGACCTTGACCGACTTCCATTTTGGAACTGTTCATTATCATTTTGGGATGTCTAGGTGAAAATTTGACTTTTTGTCAACCAACAGTATAAAGACTGGTCAGACTGCACATACAGACTGGCCTAGCTCTATACTATGGTGGCTAATTTGGTACACTTTGTGTGTTGCATTGTCAATAGCTACAATACAATCTATATTGTTATCGCCTTTTTGTCTTGTTGCTAGCGAAGCAAGCCAAACGGCACGTTGTCGCACTGTCATCGTGTCGTCCTATCACTAGCGAAGCACGCCAAACAGTGTGTTGAGGTGCAGCACGTTGTTGCCCTGCCGCTTGGCTTACATAATTATGTATATATATACAAATAGCAAATCCTTCTATAAATTGATTTGATCCTCAATGTGACATTGCAACAACATGCCACATGACAATGCGCTGTTTGATGTGCTTCGTTGGCGACAGGATGACAAGACTACATTGCTACAATGCGCCGTTTAGCACAAAATCAGCCACCATACTATAAGATGGCAATGGCTCACCCTCTACAGTTCTAGTAGGTTAAAGCTTAATGTACATTGTCATTGTATGAACTGAGTGTGAGCGTGGCTTAAAACTCAACACAAAGAAGTGAGAAAATTGTATGAACGAAATGTTACAAAAAAATTGAACTTGCTGCCATTTTCAAGAAGCCCTAATAATTTATTATTTTCTTTGTTTCTTATATGTAAACATTTGTTATTTACAGAAAAGATCAAAAGCAAAGGGTACTATATGTTTGAATAATGTAAAAACAGTGGAAACTGTGGAAGATGGAAAGCTGGATGATAAAAGCAATGTTTTTCAGGTATGGTCTCATACTATCTTATAACTAGTATAACTAGCAATTTATCTGTTTTGGGCAAATTTGTGTCCAATGATACTTTCCTTAAAGAACATTTTTCCTCCTACCTTTGGCAAAAATTCCCCATTAAAAATGAATAAATAAACAATACATGTACATTGCAATATTGAAACTTAAACTCATGTACTTTCTGAAATTCTTCATATTTAAAAAACGAAATTATTTTAATTATGCCCCCACAATGTGGGGGCATAAATTAAACAGAATTATGGCCCTTTGTTGATTTTTTCACGATGTACTATGTAGAAATTTTGTGAACGCAACTCCTCTTAAACCGGATGGCAGATTTTGCTTAAACTTCCAGGGATGAACAACCTTAATGTCTAGATGGTAGTAAAGGAAGGAATTTTCGCTGCGTCCAAATTTAACAGAATTATGGCCCTTTGTTGATTTTTAGTTTTCAACTTAAGGCACATGTAGTCCAAAAAATATTTGACCTAGAGTCATAAGATTGACAGAACAGTGGCGTGTGGGGGCATCCGTGTCCTATGGACACATTTCTAGTTTTTTACTTGTTTCATAGCAAATGATGGTAATTGTCAAAATTGATTTGTACCCCTATGATTGTAAGTGCATTTTTCTCCTGCTTTTAGTACTGTTACCAGTTTCCCAATTCTGTTCAAAATTTCTAATGCAAATCTACATTCATCACCCTTTGTTCTGGTTGATGATACATCAAACTTTATTAAATTTAACAATGAGTTTATTATAAATGGGTGTTGAATACTGCCTGAGATGATCTAGTGATAAGCAAATGTAGGTGTCTGCTTCTTAGCCCAGAGATCGTGGGTTAAAGCTATACTAAGACTCAACTATGTCTCCTCATATGACACCACCTGTGGTGAGAAGTCTATACACTGTTGATAAATGAAATCACTGTACCATGTCTTGCCATTTCTTGTGTTATGCTTACAAACACATACTACTTCCTAACACTGAACCTTTATTTGGAAGCCTATATGTTTCAAATTGAAACTATCTTGCAATAGTTGGATGGAGACTGATTTAAACAATATGCTTTATAAGGGTTTCAATTTCTTTTTTTCAATAGATAATGCTTCTTTTTTTCAATAGATAATGCACAGAACAGAAAAGGGGGAAGGTTATTACACTTTATACATTGTTGCTCAGAGTGCGGAGCAACAGAAGAAATGGGTTGATACCTTAAAACAAAGTAAGTATAATAAGGAAAATTGTAATTGTTGATACGGTGATCTCCTCTTAACCAGCTCTTATATATTAATATCAGACAGGAAAGTAAAATACCAGTAGATGCTTTAGATTTTTATATGTACAGTTAAATGTATAATACTCAAGTTAAGTACTTGTGACATATTAAAATCATGGATAACTCAAGTGATCAGGAAAAATTAATGGGATACATGTACATTGTATATTACTATGTTAGTGTTTTTTTCCAGCTATTAAAGATCTTGGTGTAACATTTCTACCTAAGTATCACACTGGTGTATAGACAATAAATTGTATATTACTATGTCAGTGAATTGTTTTTTCCAGCTATTAAAGATCTTGGTGTAACATTTTTACCTAAGTACCACACTGGTGTATAGACAATTTAATGTATATTACTATGTCAGTGAATTTTTTTTCCCAGCTATTAAAGAACTTGGTGTAACATTTCTACCTAAGTACCACACTGGTGTATGGACAAAGACTCTAGGACATTACAACTGTTGTGATCAGATAGATAGAAATGCCCCAGGCTGTCAGATGATACCTGATGATGGTGGGTGACTTTTTAATGATTATTTTCATTTCATTTTACTAACCTGACTGATATCCATAAAGGTTAACACTGCTTAATTTGTGAAGTGAATTTGCCATTTTTTAGCTCACCTGTCACAAAGTGATATGGTGAGCTTTTGTGATCGCTTTTCGTCCGTCGTCCGTCCGTAAACTTTTACTTTAAACGACATCTCCTCATAAACCACTAAGCCAATTTCATCCAAACTTCACAGGAATGTTCCTTTGGTAGTCAACAACTTCAAAAATAGTTCAAATAATTTAATTCCAAGCAGAACTCTGGTTGCCATGGCAGCTGAAAGAAAAAACTTAAAATATCTTCTTTTAGAAATTGGAAGAGCTAGAGCTTAAATATTTGGCATGAAACATAATCTAGTCAGTGTCTACCAAGTTTGTTCAAATAAATGCCCTAGGGCAGGGCTCACACTGGCTCAAATAAGATAATAGCCAATATTTTTAACTTAAAAAAATAATAGCCAAAAGTTCAGCGGACTATTCACGATTAAGCGATTAACAACATAAGCAGCTGATTAAATAAACATTCCATATAAAACGTTTTCAGTTTTATAAGGATTTTCAAATAAACTGATACATTTGTGTATATTGATAACTACCTTTTTAACTACCTTTTTTTACATAAAACCACAACTTTGATTGCTATTATAGAACATGTTATATAGTATAATTACTGTATAACAATAATATTAAAGATTCATTATAACTTTACATAATGCCGTTATCAGACAATTTCTTTTGTGTGTTCTAATCAAATTTTGTCAGCTATAACCACTGTCAATTTCCACATTTCACACAGAACTGCTTTTACTGGAGTAGATCTAGGTATATAAATAACACTTGCAAACTCATTCACAGAATGCAGCCTTTTTTCTGAATAACTTACTGAAAAATGTCATCATCACCAATGTAATACTCTGCCATAATAATTAAGATTTTTAAACAGAACATACCTTATTTTCACCTTTAAATAAATATCAAAATTATTGGTGTCGCGAAAACATGTGACAATCGGGTTTTTCCTGTTTTCTGAAGAAATATTCACAATTTTGGTTATTGTGCAAATAGTTGTTTGTAAGTTAATACTTTTTAAATATTTTATCATTGTTTTCCACTGGCGATTTAGTAAAGCAGCTTAAAACAAAAAAATCAAAATTTGCAATTTACGGTAAATTTTTGGTTGGTCAATATCCAGTTTATCAATTTTAAGACGATTTTTGTGGCTAATTGACGGATATTTGATGGCTATTATAATGCTGGACAATATCTTTCAAGTACAGTACTACTTATAGAATTTTCCATCCCGCATGTATTTTTATCACCCAGCGCGTGACAGATTAAAAGTTGACACTCAATTAAATCCACCCCGCTGGTATTGGGTCTACTACATTCTTATCGATTTTTACACCTTATATAAACACTGTTGGAAGTAAAAAATAATCGCCAGATTTTGTAGCCAAAATGCAAAAATAATCGCCAATCTTATAAAATAATCGCAAATGGCGACTATGGCGACCGACAGCGTGAGCCCAGCTAGGGTCAAAATTTGCCCCGCCCTGGGGAGTCATTGATTTTCCTTATTTTTATATAGTAAAAACTTAAAAAATCTTCTTTTAAAAATCCCAAATAGCTAGAGCTTAAATATATATCATGAAACATCTTCTAATGGGTGTCTACCAAGTTTGTTCAAATAAAAGCCCCTGGTTAAAAATTAGTCTTGGCCCAGGGGCCTATATAAAGGTGAGCGATTTCAGGGCCATCATGGCCTTCTTGTTTGTTATTGTATTGAAGCCGTATACTTGAGCTATTAATTACAAGCATTTGAACGATAATGCACTATAATGCAAGAAAAAATAATATCCATTTCCATTCTAACTTGCTAATTAAAAAAAGAGAATTGATAAGAATATGTTGAACTACATGGAGTAGTGATATAATCCCGCCCTAAGGCCGTATGCCTGAGTGCATAATTACAAGCATTTGAACAATAAATTTTGCATTATTGTACTATAGTGCAAGGAAAAATAGTATCTATTTCCATTCTAACATTCTAATAAAAAGAAAATTTATAAAAAATATGTTGAACTACACTGAAGGTAGATGTTGTTTTCCTGACATTGTTTGGTTTATTGACGTCTTATTAATGTCATATCTGACGTCTTATTTGATATCATATGTCTTAGTAGCATTCCTTTTTTATGCTGTGAAAATATCGTGTAATAATGAATTTGTTTGCCAAGGGAATGATGTGAGGCATGTTAGAATGATAGTTAGAACTTATCATTAACAGTTTAGGGGGTTATTGTTACTTCTAAAAATAGATATTATAAACAGTAAATTGCATGAACTAATATATTTTGACCAAGCTTGGTATTTACCACAAAGTGATCAGATATACTGTAGATTTGTTTGATTGGTAAGCACTTTGCACAGGTGAGGAATTATAACAGCAAGCTTAGAAAAACTAAAGGGCTATTCCACATTAAATTCTGGAAGCTTCTTCCTTTTGGTTGTATGATCCATGTAGACATGTATTTTATCACACCATAGACCTGGTGTCTTCCTGATGATAAAATACATAAGGGACCTATTTTTCTTTATATGATAGTAACACGTAATATGATTGTTAAAGAACAGGTTTTAGAAAAGGTATGTATTTGTGTGATATTTCTTACTAAAACTGATTTATTCTTTTCTGCTTTGAAGATTATGAAGATATTTTACTATCTGCTTTGACATTAAGTTTTATTTGTTTAACCAGCATTCTATTTGTTCAGTTTTTATAAGATCTGACCTCTAATTCCATGACTTACTTCACATTTTTTGCTAAAAATCTAACTGTGAGGATGTGTTTGATTGACAGTCCATTTTAAACAATATTCCAATTAATTATTGATTCAGTGACAAAAAAATAATTAATTTATTGAAAGAATAATATTGTCGTAAGGGGATGAGTATTAAGGCCGAGTAGTAAGGTCAGTGACTGCAAAAAAAACTTGCCCCTCGGCGCTGTGGGTTTGAATTCCAAAAGGGTTTTTGGATTCTTTCGTGTGAGAAAGCTATTTAGCTAACTTATGGAACGTCAGTGGTTCTACTTGGGTGCCCGTTCGTGCCTGAAATAATGCCCAGAAGGGAATATTGTGGATCTCTGCTTATTTGCTAATTTTGTGTATTGAAATAATTTTCTGTTCTGAATCTTGAGCTAATATTACAAAGAAAGTAAATAACTATATCTTGTTGACAGTGGATTTGTTGCATTATGTTTTGGTTGGAGATGAGAGGATAACAGAAAAATACATGCAAAGTATTTACTAGCTTGTTTGGAGTATTGGTACATATTGAATTACTGAAATCTGGAATTTATGATTTATGGGTTTCTCATTTTTAGCTCGACTATTCGATAAGAATAAGTAGAGCTATTGCAGTCACCCGAGCGTCGGCGTCCGCGTCGGCGTCGGCGTCGGCGTAACCACTTATGTTAAAGTTTTTGTAATAGTTCAAATATTTTCAAAGTCCATTGACATATGGCTTTGAAACTTTGCACACTTGTTCACCATCATGACCCCAACCTGTAGACAGGAGGAGGTAACTCTATCAAGCATTTGGACAGAATTATGCCCCTTTTTCGACTTAGAATTTACGTTAAAGTTTTTGTAATAGTTCAAATATTTTCAAAGTCCATTGACATATGGCTTTGAAACTTTGCACACTTGTTCACCATCATGACCCCAACCTGTAGACAGGAGGAGGTAACTCTATCAAGCATTTTGACAGAATTATGCCCCTTTTTCGACTTAGAATTTACTTTAAAGTTTTTGTAATAGTTCAAATATTTTCAAAGTCCATTGACATATGGCTTTCAAACTTTGCACACTTGTTCAACATCATGACCCCAACCTGTAAACAGGAGGAGGTAACTCTATCAAGCATTTTGACAGAATTATGCCCCTTTTTTGACTTAGAATTTACGTTAAAGTTTTTGTAATAGTTCAAATATTTTCAAAGTCCATTGACATATGGCTTTGAAACTCTGCACACTTGTTCACCATCATGACCCCAACCTGTAAACAGGAGGAGGTAACTGTATCAAGCATTTTTTTTACTATCAAGCACTAAGAATAGTCGAGCGTTGCTGTCCTACCGACAGCTCTTGTTTGTTTTGGTTTGGTTTAAACATATTTATTTAAGCTCGATTGCAAAACAAGTTCTTGCAACTTATATTAATCACTTTTGAGTCCGCTTCCTGGAACCTGGAACCAGTACTGGTGTCATATGAAGAAACATGGTCGTGACCTGAGTAGGGCTCAAACCCATGATCTCTGGGTTGAGAGGCAGACACCTTAACCACTAGGCCATCACTCCCCACTTGTTTTGGTTTGTTTTTTTTCCCTAAAATAATTTGTATGAAGAGGGCTATATTAGTTCATGTTAGAGTTCATGTCAAGGTCACCATTAAAGATCAGATGTTGAGATTTAAAACAAATGTTAATAACTATGTTAACATGGAGCATATCAGTGAGGTCATGTAATTATCATTCTGATTGATAGAACTTATACCTAAACTGGTTAACTTACTGGTTAACTGAACTCGGTCAACATAATACAGTGAATATTCATAATGCTAAATTGTGACTATATTCAGTCACTGCAAACAAAAGCTTCCTATCTTTGATAAAATCAGTTTTCAAAACAATCTTGTTTTACTTGTTTTCTATACAATCTCGCTATTTCACAACAACAAACATTAACCTTTTATCATTTGATCAATTCTTACAATTTTGCAATACTTTAAAATTTTAACTAATTTTCAGTTTAAGCAAAGTCCACCTTTTTTAAATCAATCAAAGTCTACAAATTTTCAAAACAAGCAAAGTCAACCTAATTTGAAAAAAAAACTAAGGTATACCTTTGTTCAATGCAATTAAAGTCTATTTAAAAATTGTTTTCAATACAACCAAGGTATACTTTTTTCAATATATTTAAAAGTGATTTTTATTTAGAACATACATTAATTACCTAGTTTTACTACAAAGAATAAACTCAAGAAGAGAAAAAAAACCAACAATATACAATGCAGATAAATTTACGTTTTGCACAAACATTTGGAGAATACCATCTTTGAAAACCTTTTTTTATGTCCCTCCAACTTATTGTTTATTGTTTCAATCAGGATTGTTTATTGTGTAAATTCATATATCTTGGAAGGACAAAGTCTGTTTTTTTTACGTAAATGCATATTGTACAGATAAAGGAATGAGAACGTGTCTTATTGTGAACTTACACATGCTTCAGGTCTTCTTTTTTTATGTAGAAAAATCTCCAATCGTGATTGAATCATATTTTAATACATTTATTACTATTATTCATCTACCAGTATACATATTTCAAGCTATCTCTTAAATACTCTCAATATCATATGCTGAATACATGTCAATAAAATTAATATATTCTCATTCTAAAACATACCTAATATTGTATCAAATTACTCTAGATATATGAGCCGCTTCACGACAAAACCAACATAATGGATTTGCGATCAGCATGGATCCAGACCAGCCTGCGCATCCGCGCAGTCTGATCAGGATCCATGCTGTTCGCTTTCAGTTTCTCTTCTTGTTATAGGGTTTGTAAGCGAACAGCATGGATCCTGATCAGACTGCGCGGATGCGCAGGCTGGTCTGGATCCATGCTGGTCGCAAACCCATTATGTTGGTTTTGTCATGACACGGCTCAATTATATCTGCAACAGTAACTGTCCAACTCAAAGCTTAAAAAAAATACTCAAAGCTACATGCCTCCAGACTCATGCACATTTTTATCATGATAATTATTTTAGTAGTTGAGATTCAAAACATAATTTCACCAGTGTTTATTTTAATGTTTTCATTAAATTAATTCTAATATGCAATGTGGCCGGCCTTAACAGAGAGATTTAAAAAGAGTCACATAGTTTAGGAATGTTAACACAATTGTCTTTTTCACGGTCACTCTTCATTATTTTTTTTAAGTTTGAAGTATTGAATATTTCTTTGTTGATTTGGATCGAGGCATTTTGCTTTGATATTAAGGAAAATATTTAGATATTATATTACTTACTATTATCCTTTAAATCTAAGCATTGCCAAAATAAATGTGCAGATTAAAGCTATTTTCAGGATATTCTTAATTGCTAGCTGAGATTTTCTACTTTACTTGCTGAAGCTAGTTAAGTTGTTGTTGCTATTGTGTCAAAATTTCCTGTGTTTCCATACATTCATAGTCTGTATTCTGTATTGATACTTCTTTTCAAAGGAAAATGTGACAGAATAGAGCTAATTTTCATACTTTTGACAAAGTTATTACATTATTACAGAAACTTTTGCATTCATATGTTGCCACTTTAGCATTTGCAGCATCCTTTGATATGGTTTTGTCATCTCTTTTTTTCTTGTCCAAACAATAACAAAAACTTGAAAAGGAATTGATAGATCCGCACTCTGACTAAAAAAATTTTATTTGAATGACAACAGACTAAACCACAAACATTGACATGTGCTCTTGTGTTAACAAGTATGTTGTGGTGAAATTCTTATTCACTAATCTGATAATTAGAACTGGGCAGGTAAGGGATCTATGCATAATCCATGGCTTATGTTACCTAGTAGGGCCATGAGGTCAGTAGGTCAAAGGTCATAGTAACAGTTGCATTGACCATTAAAGCTCGTTTGACCAATAGCTAGAGTACATTTTGGCTTACTGTTCTATGTGGTTGATCAGACATTATTATAAGAGATGTCCCTTATTTATTTTGAGGTTATTATGTCAATGTTCACAGTTGCACTGTAAGGAAACTTTTTGTCTGTCAATCACTTGAGAAGGAATAAGGCTAAGTTATGAAACCTAATGATTTTTCACTGGGAACATAGATTGTAATATGAGATAAACACATGTACCTGGAGTACTAGATTGGAATACCAGATACACAGATATGCCTTAAAATAATTAACATACACACACATAAACCTGAAATACTCGATACAGACATGTGCCTAAAATACCAGATTTACTTGTGTAGATACTTGTACAGACATTTGCCAGAAATACTAGATGTACTTGTGTAGATACTTGTACAGACATTTGCCAGAAATACTAGATGTACTTGTGTAGATACTTGTACAGACATTTGCCAGAAATACTAGATGTACTTGTGTAGATACTTGTACAGACATTTGCCAGAAATACTAGATGTACTTGTGTAGATACTTGTACAGACATTTGCCAGAAATACTAGATGTACTTGTGTAGATACTTGTACAGACATTTGCCAGAAATACTAGATGTACTTGTGTAGATACTTGTACAGACATTTGCCAGAAATACTGGATGTACTTGTGTAGATACTTGTACAGACATTTGCCAGAAATACTGGATATACTTGTGTAGATACTTGTACAGACATTTGCCAGAAATACAAGATGTACTTGTGTAGATACTTGTACAGACATTTGCCAGAAATACTAGATGTACTTGTGTAGATACTTGTACAGACATGTGCCTAAAATACCAGATTTACTTGTGTAGATACTTGTACAGACATGTGCCAGAAATACCAGATGTACTTGTGTAGATACTTGTACAGACATTTGCCAGAAATACCAGATGTACTTGTGCAGATACTTGTACAGACATTTGCCAGAAATACTAGATGTACTTGTGTAGATACTTGTACAGACATTTGCCAGAAATACTAGATGTACTTGTGTAGATACTTGTACAGACATTTGCCTAAAATACCAGATGTACTTGTGTAGATACTTGTACAGACATTTGCCAGAAATACTGGATATACTTGTGTAGATACTTGTACAGACATTTGCCAGAAATACTAGATGTACTTGTGTAGATACTTGTACAGACATTTGCCAGAAATACGAGATGTACTTGTGTAGATACTTGTACAGACATTTGCCAGAAATACTGGATATACTTGTGTAGATACTTGTACAGACATTTGCCAGAAATACAAGATGTACTTGTGTAGATACTTGTACAGACATTTGCCAGAAATACTAGATGTACTTGTGTAGATACTTGTACAGACATTTGCCTAAAATACCAGGTGTACTTGTGTAGATACTTGTACAGACATTTGCCAGAAATACTAGATGAACTTGTGTAGATACTTGTACAGACATTTTCCAGAAATACCAGATATAATTGTGTAGATACTTGTACAGACATATGCCAGAAATACCAGATGTACTTGTGTAGATACTTGTACAGACATTTGCCAGAAATACCAGGTGTACTTGTGTAGATACTTGTACAGACATTTGCCTAAATACCAGATGTACTTGTGTAGATACTTGTACAGACATTTGCCAGAAATACCAGATGTACTTGTGTAGATACTTGTACAGACATGTGCCAGAAATACCAGATGTACTTGTGTAGATACTTGTACAGACATTTGCCAGAAATACCAGATGTACTTGTGTAGATACTTGTACAGACATGTGCCAGAAATACCAGATGTACTTGTGTAGATACTTGTACAGACATGTGCCTGAAATACCAGATGTACTTGTGTAGATACTTGTACAGACATGTGCCAGAAATACCAGATGTACTTGTGTAGATACTTGTACAGACATGTGCCTGAAATACCAGATGTACTTGTGTAGATACTTGTACAGACATGTGCCTAAAATACCAGATGTACTTGTGTAGATACTTGTACAGACATGTGTCTCGAAAATACCAGATGTACTTGTGTAGATACTTGTACAGACATTTGCCAGAAATACCAGATGTACTTGTGTAGATACTTGTACAGACATGTGCCAGAAATACCAGATGTACTTGTGTAGATACTTGTACAGACATGTGCCAGAAATACCAGATGTACTTGTGTAGATACTTGTACAGACATGTGCCAGAAATACCAGGTGTACTTGTGAAGATACTTGTACAGACATGTGCCAGAAATACCAGATGTACTTGTGTAGATACTTGTACAGACATTTGCCAGAAATACCAGATGTACTTGTGTAGATACTTGTACAGACATTTGCCAGAAATACCAGATGTACTTGTGTAGATACTTGTACAGACATGTGCCTGAAATACTAGAATGTACTTGTGTAGATACTTGTACAGACATTTGCCAGAAATACCAGGTGTACTTGTGTAGATACTTGTACAGACATTTGCCAGAAATACCAGATGTACTTGTGCAGATACTTGTACAGACATTTGCCTAAAATACCAGATGTACTTGTGTAGATACTTGTACAGACATTTGCCAGAAATACTAGATATACTTGTGTAGATACTTGTACAGACATTTGCCTAAAATACCAGATGTACTTGTGCAGATACTTGTACAGACATTTGCCAGAAATACTAGATATACTTGTGTAGATACTTGTACAGACATTTGCCAGAAATACTAGATGTACTTGTGCAGATACTTGTACAGACATTTGCCTAAAATACCAGATGTACTTGTGTAGATACTTGTACAGACATTTGCCAGAAATACTAGGTACCTTATGTGCCTAGAATAGAATACCATGTTATGTAAATGTGCATGAAATGCCCGATACACACATTTTAAATTACTTTATTTTTCCATTTTATAGGGTCAGCAGCAGGACAAAACAGTGCCCCACGTTCTAATTTACCACCTCTACCGGATATACCTGGACAAGCTAAGACCAATGGTACCGGAGGTAATAGGCCGGTTCCTGCGCCAAGACCACCGAAGAGGGAGAAGGAGAAAGATCGGGAGAAGAAAATGTATATTGCAGCTTACGATTATAAACCATGTGAAGAAGGGGATCTAGAATTAGTCACGGTATGATTTATTTATTTGAGGATGCCAATGTCTTAGTGGACTATATATTCATGTATATATATCTTGGTAAGGTACAAAAAATAATAAATTCTCATCTTTTATAGTCATTTTGTTAATTTTTCCAGTTACATGTATATAATTGTGAAATCCATAGAATCACCTTGACCTTTTATTTTTGGCATGCTATGTTGGGTTGTTTAATTAAATTTAGGTGAAGAGGAGTTTTTTTTTATATATGATTTATGATATTTTGTTACCTAAATATACCTTTCAGTGTGGTATACTGAAATTAACCTTGTCTGTCCAACTGTCTGGGTATTTTTTGTCTGGAGCATCATGCAACATAAAACCTAATAGGTTGATAATCTCATTGAAGAACAGTTCTGTTCTCGAGTATTGTAAAAGGACTGTCATAAATCAGTATTAGCGCGTTCCTAAACTCATGACCACCATTTTGGTGAAAATGTTCTCATTACCAAGTGAATACATGTTCCTTGTTGAAATCTTGGTCAAAACCAATCCCCGCATCCTCCATAACCACGTCCACCCCTCTCCACTACAACCAGCCCCACACTCCACCACAACCCTTATAATTATGAGCCGCGTCATGACAAAACCAACATAATGGATTTGCGACCAGCATGGATTCAGACCAGCCTGCCCATCCGCGCAGTCTGATAAGGATCCATGCTGTTCGCTTACAACTCTATAACAAGTAGAGAAACTGATAGCAAACAGCATGGATCCTGATCAGACTGCGCGGATGCGCAGACTGGTCTGAATCCATGCTGGTCGCAAACTCATTATGTTGGTTTTGTCATGACGCAGCTCATATATTTTATAGCCCAGTTAAATGTAAATATTGGTTTCAAGTAGAGCTCTTAACATAGTAAACAATATCATCAGATTTTGTTAATAAAGTTAAAAATTCATGTTTTATATAAAATACATGTTTTAGTATATAACTTCTGTAGTCAAGTAAACTTTGTTTTTTATATAATCATGTATATAAAACCTTGTAATGTTTGAAGAATTAAAACAGTAAATTGTATTATTTTTCCTCCATAATCCTTGTTTATAAATATTCCAAGTGAATCATGTCTTACCAGCTATTCTAACATGGCTTACAAAATGCCAGTCTGATCTGAAAACGGGTAAATTTCTGAATTGCCCAATATTACTGGTATATCTTAAAATTTGTTGTTGTTGTTGTTGTTTTTTTTAACGGTAAACCAATAAATAGTTAAATACTGAATTGCTCAGAATGTGGCCAAGAAATTTCTCAAATAAATCTTAAGTTAATATTTTGCTTTGTTCAAAATTAGATAAAATATTACATTAAAACCTAATGTTCATTTAATTTTGTTTTGTAGTTGTTGTTGTTGTATGTTAAATAATAAATACATTGTTAAAGAATGGTTTATTACTAAGAAATGAGAAGATATTAGTGTATGGAATGGTTTGTTACTAAGCAATGTATAGAATGGTTAAGTAGATAGTAATGTATAGATCACTGAGAAAGAAATTACTGAAAATAATGGTTAATAAGTTATAAATGACTGCAATAATTGTTAATGAGATAGAAATGACTGAAAATAATGGTTAATGAGATAGAAGTGACTGAAAATAATGGTTAATGAGATAGAAATGACTGAAAATAATGGTTAATGAGATAGAAGTGACTGAAAATAATGGTTAATGAGATAGAAATGACTGAAAATAATGGTTAATAAGATAGAAGTGACTGAAAATAATTGTTAATGAGATGGAAATGACTGAAAATAATGGTTAATGAGATAGAAATGACTGAAAATAATGGTTAAGGAGATAGAAGTGACTGAAAATAATGGTTAATAAGATATAAATGACTGAAATAATTGTTAATGAGATAGAAATGACTGTATAGAATTGTTATTGAGATAGTATTGACTTAAAATAATGGTTAATGAGATAGAAATGACTGAAAATAATGGTTAATGAGATAGAAATGACTGAAAATAATGGTTAATGAGATAGAAGTGACTGAAAATAATGGTTAATAAGATAGAAATGACTGAAAATAATGGTTAATAAGATAGAAGTGACTGAAAATAATGGTTAATGAGATGGAAATGACTGAAAATAATGGTTAATGAGATATAAATGACTGTGTAGAATTGTTAATGAGATAGAAATGACTGAAAAATAATGGTTAATGAGATGGAAATGACTGAAAAATAATGGTTAATGAGATAGAAGTGACTGAAAATAATGGTTAATGAGATAGAAATGACTGAAAATAATGGTTAATGAGATAGAAGTGACTGAAAATAATGGTTAATGAGATAGAAATGACTGAAAATAATGGTTAATAAGATAGAAATGACTGAAAATAATGGTTAATGAGATAGAAATGACTGAAAATAATGGTTAATGAGATAGAAATGACTGAAAATAATGGTTAAGGAGATAGAAGTGACTGAAAATAATGGTTAATAAGATATAAATGACTGAAATAATTGTTAATTAGATAGAAATGACTGTATAGAATTGTTAATGCGATATTATGGACTTAAAATAATGGTTAATGAGATAGAAATGACTGAAAATAATGGTTAATGAGATAGAAATGACTGAAAATAATGGTTAATGAGATAGAAGTGACTGAAAATAATGGTTAATGAGATAGAAATGACTGAAAATAATGGTTAATAAGATAGAAGTGACTGAAAATAATGGTTAATGAGATGGAAATGACTGAAAATAATGGTTAATGAGATATAAATGACTGTGTAGAATTGTTAATGAGATAGAAATGACTGAAAAATAATGGTTAATGAGATGGAAATGACTGAAAATAATGGTTAATGAGATAGAAATGACTGTGTAGAATTGTTAATGAGATAGAAATGACTGAAAAATAATGGTTAATGAGATAGAAATGACTGTATAGAATTGTTAATGTGATATTATTGACTTAAAATAATGGTAAATGAGATAGAAATGACTGAAAATAATGGTTAATGAGATAGAAATGACTGTATACAATTGTTAATGAGATAGTATTGACTTAAAATAATGGTTAACGAGATAGAAATGACTGAAAATAATGGTTAATGAGATAGAAATGACTGTATACAATTGTTATTGAGATAGTATTGACTTAAAATAATGGTTAATGAGATAGAAATGACTGAAAATAATGGTTAATGAGATAGAAATGACTGTATACAATTGTTATTGAGATAGTATTGACTTAAAATAATGGTTAATGAGATAGTATTGACTATATAGAATTGTTAATTAGATGGTAATTTATAGAGTTGTCAATGAGATAATTATTTATGTTTCAGGGTTCAGAGTATGAAGTATTAGATGACAGCAGGGATCATTGGTGGTTAGCTAAAAATATGTCTGGGTAAGTATATTTCTGTCTATCTACCTAATGTTTGTTTAAGCCTAAATTCCAGATAGATAATAAATTTCTCAAAGTATATACAGTTCAAAATCATGGAGAAATAAGAAATGTCAGTAGGATTTTATTACTTTATCTCCTGATTATGTAAGTGGATATTTGTGTGTCCGTAAAATTTGTGTATGCTAAAAAGAGGACTTTTGGACTATGACCTGATAACATGTATACTTATTCTATTGAAAATAATTATTTTGTTGTATTAATGACATGTTGTGTTAATGACAGGGATTATTGATACATTTTAAAGTATATAAAGCTATATATCAGCTGCCTGTGGTTTACCATTAAAAAATTTTTTTTTTTGAATTTTGGAAAAATACCTGTATGAAAGAAATATGTTTATATATAACATTCCCTAAGAGTGAATGGCACTTGCATGAAATCATTGATAAACAATGAAAATTCTGCTTAAAATAGCAACATAATATTTTGTTGCAGAACATTCTATTCCCTTGACTTACACTATTCAGTGTTCGCGTTTACTGAGTAAACATTTCAATTTACTTGCTTAAATTGCCAGGGAGGAAAGAAGAAAAGGGCCGTTAAGTCCCTGGGACGAAACACCTTTTCCCCGATGATTGGTTAATTCTCTCTTAAGTTTTTTTGCTCTGATTGAAAATGATTTTCTATTCAATTTAGATAAATTGTATGATAAGAACTTGACTTTCACCTCATTTTGATTTGTTCCCTTCTCATTAGCAATGCAGATTTATATCTCAAACATAGACTAGGAGCATTAGTGCTCGGCCTTGTTTTAGGCCAACCTATCAATGGTATCCGCGAACATCAACAGTCACAAATTTGATTGTATTATGAAGTTATGCAAACATTGACATTTTTGTAATGGAGGACTCGTCCCATTTGAATAGGGACGTAACAGATCTATTAGCACTGAGTCCCAGGTACTCAGTAAAGTTAGGGAAAATCGCTAACACTGCTATTCATATAATTATGTCAAATAAATCAGACATTCTACGGTACTATTCTTTTTGAGGATCTTATATACGATAATTGAAGCAACATAACTTTACATTTTATAGATTTTCCGAAAAATATTTAATTAGATATATAGCCTTATACCCTTTAAAGTATCATTTATAGTATTGAGGTTTTTTTGTAATCTAGTTTGTTTATAACTTGTATCTAATTTGTGTTCTTGTTGTTCTTTTTTTTTCAGAGAGAAAGGTTTTATCCCGGCAAACTATGTGAAAAAGAAGTTTGATTTAGAAATTTATGAGTAAGTAGACATAAGCACTAGGCATTGCACCAGTATTTATCATTACTATGTTAGTACAGTAAAACATAGGCCTAAAAAAATATTGTTTGTTTCCCATCACAGTATACCTACCCACTAAAATCAGTGCTGCTTTAAAAAAAAGTTTTGTCACCAAAAAAGGGTTTTTTGGGGGTTTTTTTACTGAAAATTCTGTCAATGAGAATAACATATTTATTTGTCTCATGTTTTTGAATTGTAAATAATGGTAAGAAATAGATTTTACAAACTGGGATGCATTGAACAAAATTGTGGACCTTTGGTTCTAATCTTTTAACAAATGCATTTCATTTATTTGGGATAACAATATTATGTTCAATAAAAAGAAAATTTTAGATTAAAAAAAAACAACATGTTTTACCGGCTGTACCCAAACTAGCATGGGTCAACTTTGGAGGGGCAACATATATATTTATAAGACTGGTCCTATCTGTAGAATACAGACCTTAAGAAATTGGAAAAAGTTGTCCCTATGGACATTAATACACCATTTGATTGTAACTATAAAGCCCCCACCCACATTACAGTGTGAGGGAAGGAAAATAATTTACAAACAAGTCTGTGTTTTAATTAATATTTTTGCGGTACAACTTATTTTTTATGGTGTATTCAAATGTTTTTCGACTGTTACACACATTTATATTTGCATGTCTGGTTAAACATGTACAAGTATATTTGCATGAATCTTGCATTAAAGCAGCACTCGTCCAGACAATAATATTATGTTCATTTTTATGAAAACTTAAAAATTGTTCTAAATGAGTCAAGTGTGCAATTTAAAGTGTTTTAAACAGGCCTAACTTAAGGCACTTGCTAACTTTAGAAACTATTTATAACTTGTCAGATTGGAGAAATTTTTCTTACTTTGGTAGTTATGCTAATGAAAATAATACATTCTGTAAAATTTTGCATACTCAGCTGTATTAAAGTGGTTAAGTGAGCGACACAGAAATATTGGTGAATTTTTATTAATGACGAAAATCGCTAAAATATACTCTAGCATAAATATCAACCTTCTTAATTTTCATTAAATTCTACCATACACTATTCGCTAATATTTTCTCACACAAATTATCTGAAATTTTAAGTTCGCTAACTTTCCGAAACGCGGAAATATCCACCTATACAGAATTGTATTACAAGTTTCCCCGATTAGGAATACATATAACTTAAGTTTGATATTTTTGAAGATTTATTTTATTCCTCTAGATATGTGCTGCTTTAAGTGTTACCTTCATCAAAACTTTTGCAATATGAGGTGAAAATTTTAATCTGTATCATTTATGTGTTGTGTAGAAATCTTCAGGTATCAAATTAGCACAGTTTTCATAACAATCTTAGTAAGAATATATTTACTGTAATTATAGAATCCTACATTTTGTAAAGTAAGATCACACATTTTGAATAGTCTGATATTAATTTACCCTGCTGACACCAAAAGAACCAGTAATAGAGCCAGGCATGCCTGTACATCCATGCAGTCTGACCTATCATAACTGCTGGCAGACACAAAATTTTTTTCTTTTCTTCATTACCCGATAGTTGAAAATGGAAAGTTTAGAAAAATGTCTATTTGAAAAATTTAGCAGATTAAGATAATAAAAAAAGAATCAAGGAAAGCCTGTGGCGAGTTAAATGCATGTTTGTATGACATGACAACTGATGTTAGATTTTTCTGATATTATCAGATTTGTAAAAAAATTTTTTAAAGCCATTCAACACCAAAAATAACCTGATTAAGGGCCATTTATTGCTATAAATGTGTTATATATAAAGAAAGACATAATGGTTATGATACATTAATAGATTAGAAATTTCTGGATTCTTCTTTGAAGTTTCGGGATTTTAGAACTTGTAAAAGTTTGTTCTTTTAATACTAAACTGATAAAAAATACATTTTTTAAAGAATTTTTGACATTTTTAACTTCTACCAATGGAGTTTTTTAAAATATGCATAAAACATATAATAAGGTGACTTATTAATACCTATATAGTATATACACACAACTGTGTGATAATTTTTTATAGTTTGGGATTGATTTGCATTTGGTATGATTTGTCGAAACTAACATAAATGTTTCAGAAAAAAAAAGTTCCAAAATTTTTGATGAAGATTGATATAGAGGTGTATTTATCCCTACACTAACCATTTCACTTTACAGATGGTACTATAAAGGTGTGACACGCGAGAGAAGTGAACAAATACTGAAATCTGAGTCACGGGAAGGGTGCTTTATGGTACGAGACTCAAGCACTCCGGGAATGTATACTTTGTCCATATACACTACAGAAACGTAAGTTCTGCACTTTTTATAATAAACATAATACAGTGTATATTAATTGGAATATTTAGCAAAAGGGAAGGCTGTGGTGTAAAAATAAAAACCCAAAAAACATCTGTTTCAGGATTTCTGGACAATCTCAATCTTTATCACTAAAATTGTGTAAAGGAAAACAATAGATTTTTGTTGATATTAAGTTTTGTATTTTCAATTATTGTATATATTTTTTAAAAAAGAAACCTGAATCAGAGTATTTCTTGCTTGAAGTAAATGCTGTCCAAGTTGGGAACATAACTAACTTGCCAATCACATAGCATGAACTTTTGTAGCCTTTAATATTACATCTATAATGCCAGCTGCAACAATGTGACATAAGAATTAAGTCACTTTAACCTTTACATTGGTGTAGTCTATCCTAAGGCTTTATATTTTTTAGCTTTTAGGTCCTGTCTCTATTAGATTGGGATTGAGCATATTGTTTTTAGTCTGTTTTTTGTTGTTTTTTTCCACAAAACTTTAACCATTACTGTAACATGTAAGTACTTCAACCTTCAGGATATAGACTTTACTACAGAGACATGCTTTTAAATGAGCTGTAACTGCCAGACCCATTTAGAGGTCTCAGGGTCAAAGGTCAAGGTCACCATCTAGGGCATGGCATTCATTGGAATGTAGCTGTTGGTATTTTTAAAATCCCTTAAATAAGAAAATGACATTGGCAAAACTGCTGGTATTTTTCACAAGTTTATTGGTGCAAGGGAATGACAGTCCTATTCTGAAGCAGAAATAGCTTTGTCCTGTGGTAGAGATGATAATAATAGAAGTATTTTACCTAGGTGGAACTAAAAATGGTAAGCCCCTGCCCCCAGTATAGAGCCAGGCTGGCCGGCACATCCGTCTATCTGACCAGGTTTATATAGTAGGCCGACCAATTTCAAATTCTATCCTGAAATCCCCAAAATTGATAATGGACGATTACAAAAATGGAAGTTGGACTAGTCCATTTCCAAAATTCAGCAGTATTTAGATTAATATTTATATGATGTGGTAGTGGTTAACATAATTAGCATTAAATATTATTTCCATCGAGCTAGAGTAGCTCATGGCAGTCCTCTATTTTATGAATATTATTTGTATTTGTTTCTTTTTTTATGTAAACCTGTGTATTGATTTGTTGTGTTTGTGTAATGACCTTGTTTTTCTTGTCAAGGAGGCAAAGTATGCCCAGTGCTAGGTAAGAGCCTTACACAGATAGATGCTAGATGATATATGAATAATTGTGTAGTCATAAATAATTGTGTAGCCAGGAAGTTTGCTTATACCCCCACCCCCTACACTCCCGTACCCTCCATACACACACAATAATTTATTTGAAATATTGTATCTATCATATAGGGTAACATGTCAGTTTAATGTATTAGTTTGTGTGCACGGTCAACACCAGACAATTGTACTGCTGTATTTGTATAGAGTTACCATTAAAATTTTGCAGTGAGAATTATCATTTGGTTTATTTTATAGCTCTTTCATCAGTTCTCACTTAGGCATGATTAAAAAGAGAATATATTTGTTACCAAAATTTGATTGAACTCTAAGATAAATTCTGAGCAAAAATATTTCAGCTAACTTTTTGAAAGTTTGAAATTTTTATATTTTTTAAAATGCTTTAATAGGGAGAAATTTAAGTTTCGGTGATCCTTTATATTAAAGGGGACTCCACTAAGGTCTCTGACATTTTCGTAATTTTTTTCGAGATTTAATTGGTGGAGAAGGCTGACCCAAACGCATTGTGTCAGGCAGAGCGGGCACGGGTGCCCATCTGTTTTCCAGATAATATTGTACTGTAAGACAAATGAAAGTTACAATATTTCACCCAAAGTCAGGCTGAGTGGACCATACTACATTGAAAGATTTCGATCCAGTGAGGATCGAACTACGGGTGAGGCAGTTGAACTCAATAATTAATTTAGTTTGGTACGGAGTCTTGTGATTCCTTTAAATTGTGGGATCATTGAAGATTTTTTGTCTAGATGGCTAAGACATGTTAAAAATTTCGGTCAATTTGAACCTGGCTTCGGACTATAGATGGAATATGTGCAAAACACCCAAAATGACAGTGTTGACAACATTCACTTTAAAGATTAGGTTTACCCCCAAATAAATTTTCAATGCCTTTCTGGCTTTTTATAAGAAATAATTTACGTTCTTTTAGACTAAGTGGAGTTCATATAAGTCAGAAGTCTGTATTTATTGTACATGCCAGGTCACATTATGTTCATGTTGAACAGTTGTGATCACTGCATGTTCAGCTTTCCATTTTGTGGATCCAAAATATTTGTGTTTATACAAGTCTGTGTACAAGATGACATATTGTTCATTATTCCATAGAAACAGCCAATTTGAGGTATGTTAAGTTAAACAATCCAGATCACAAGAATAAAACAATAATGTATGTCTGGTGTGAATGTCTGTCGTCTGGGGCCCGGCACATTGAATTCAATGGAACTACATGTATTCTTCTTGTTTGTTTGTTAGATAATATACTGTATAGTATTTTCAGAATCTAAATTCAGCATCTGTGTACATTGGAAGGGTATAATAGGCAATAGTATTTTCAGAATCTAAATTAAGCGTCTGTGTACTGTCAGAAGGGTAAAATAGGCCTGCTTTCTTGCAATGCTAGTGGCCTGAGTTTGCTGTACTGTACTTATGTGACATTTAAAGGGCTCAAGGATTTTGTTTGCCTTGTAACAAAGAATAAGTAGAATCAAATTGTTTGATTACAGTGTTTTTTTCTTCTAGAAAATACTCTTATCTTTATTGTTTAAGTTTAAGGTTGCACTTTATCCTTCACCCTTTTACTTGCCTTGGTCAACAGCATTATAAGAACCAAGTCATCTTGCTGGCATTGTACAACTGTGCAGTCTGACCAGGCTCTATACTGTTGGCTGATTTACTTTCAATTTTCATCTAAATATTATGAAGAGTTTCAAAAAATGGAAGTTGGACAAGTCCGTTTATCCCCCTTGTGTCTGAGGGGATGCTGTTGAGGCATCAGAATTGCAGTCACTGTTTACACCTGTGTGATTGCAAGAGGTGACTATATGGGTTTGAATAACTGGTGTCTGTGCATCTCTTAGCTCCAGGAAAAGAGGTCGTTTTGACTCTTGGTGTTGCTTTAAAAATTGTAACACCTGAGGTTAGCCAAAATCATTTTTACTGTTTAAATGGCACTATATGACCTAGATTGTGTTGACAAACAAACAAACAAAAATAAAATAAAAAACAAGTCCATTCAAAATATTTTGCAGGGTAAGGGTTAGATTTCTGCCAATTGCTTTGATTGTTTTTAATTTTTTATAATTGTTGATGAACATTTTATTTCGTAATTTCACAATTACTAACTTGTGCCTTTTAAGTCTCTGTGTGACCATCTAATGAAAAATGAGCCGTGTCACGACAAAACCAACATAATGGGTTTGCGACCAGCATGGATCCAGACCAGCCTGCGCATCCGCGCAGTCTGATCAGGATCCATGCTGTTTGCTATCAGTTTCTCTACTTTTGTAATAGAGTTGGTAAACGACCAGCATGGATCCAGACCAGACTGCGCGGATGCGCAGGCTGGTCTGGATCCATGCTGGTCGCAAACGCACTATGTTCATTCTGTCATGACACGGCTCAAATGTTGTTAGCCTATATTGACTATTATCAGATCATATCTACAGTATGTAAGGAAATAAATTAAGCATAAGTGATCATTAAAAAGAATCAATAGATGAAAAAGAAAACTTAACAAGTGCTTTTATCAACAGACCAATTGTTAAAGGGATTTTATCGTAGCCACATTGAAACCAGGAAAATGTTGATACATTCATATGAAGACACTTGAGATGATTAAGTGGGAAATTTAGCTAATTGATTTAATAATAAAACAATTAAGAGGCATTTATTATCCTGTAAAATGATTGAATTCATAATCTATTGTTCTGCCCTCAGAGGTCTTCCTTAAATATAAGTGATATTCAACTTCATTGTCCAATTAAATACTTTATATGTTTGGTTTTCTTGTTTAGTTGTGTGTGCGTTATAAAGCAAAGTGTCTAATGCATGCTTTCATAGAAATTGTGATGATTTTTTTGTTATGGAAATTTATAACATACATTTTTAGAATGAGACTTTTAAGTGGGATTTTTCATAAAAGCATGTTCACATTCCAGTAAAATGAATATACGTCTTTTGAAGCATTTTATGGGGCCTCAAACCACTCTCACCTTTCACTGCTGTAGGTTTGAGCCGTGCAAGTGTCGTCTGGTTCTACATGTGACCTTAGCTTACAGAACGCTGGTGATTCTACTCATGTGCCTGAAATAATGTACAGAAGGGCACCTAAGGTCTTCCTCCGCCAGTAAAGCTGGAAAGCCAACATATGACCAATACTTATATATACATGTATAATGTTGGTGGGATGTTAAACCCAACCACAAAAATAGGAGCGTTTTTTTCTTTTCTTATCATATTGTTATCATGACAAGAACTTCATTTTAAAATCTTTTAATTTTTTTGCCCTATTGTAATATAACTGATATAAATATAGTTCATTGTGCAATGGCTTTTGATGTAAAAGAAAGATGCTAAAATAAAGCAACAAACAGTAAAGAGCTTGATCAGACTGCACAAATATATAGATTGGTTTGGCTGTATATGCGTGACATTATACTAAGGTAGGATAGTTATCCTAAAGGCACTAGCTCTGACATGGGCAATTATTATTCAGCCATGTTAGCTGTAAAACATTTAACAGTATAACTGGTAAAAGACATTAGCAGTTTGTCCCTCATCCCTGATCAGTTGATGATATGAAATGAGCCGTGTCTCAACTTCACTCAAGTTTCTCAACTTGTAAAAGGGTTGGTAAGCGAACAGCATGGATCCTGATCAGACTGCGGGGATGCGCAGGCTGGTCTGGATCCATGCTGGTCGCAAACCCATTATGTTGGTTTTGTCGTGACACGGCTCAAATGCTGATTTGTTACAAGTTCCATTACAAACAGATAACTACATGTATATTCATTTTGAGCACATGTATTAGGTATTTTACATGTTAATGTTAGAAGAAAAACCACAGGAGGTTACCTTAATGTAAACAAGTTAGTTAAATTTTCCGGAGTATTTTTGTTTGTTTGTTGTTGATTTTTTTTTTCGAAAATGAAGTTATTACACATATTTGATCAAGCATTAAATTAAGGGGATCATTTTCGTTTACAATTTCAGTCGAGATGGAGTGGTACGTCACTACCATATTAAGAAGAACGATCAAGACAAGTTTTATCTTGCGGAGAAACACGCATTTGTAACAATACCTGATTTAATCTACTACCATAAACACAATGCTGGTGGAATAGCTACAAGACTAAGAGCGCCACCTACAAAGAACAAGAGCGCCCCGGTGACTGCAGGATTCGGTCATAGTAAGTTACCAGATTTTGCCTCATTTTGATAATCTTTGATAGTAATTGATTGTTACTTAGTGTGAAATACTCCTCTGAGAGAGAGTGCAAAACACCACTGATGTAACACAACGAAATCATGTTAAAGTTTCGAGCTCAATGAAGGTCCAAATACACAGAAATGTAAAAGTTTAAAATAATAACATATTGATCAAACAGCGCACTTTAAATTTTATAAAAATATGCAAAAGATAATGAAGAGGTTTTATCAGATAATTAAATTGAAAATCTTTTTTTGAGAGTGTGGGGGTGTGCAAATGTGTGATTCTTAGCCATATTTGGGTTAAAAAACATTTAAACACTTTTCAAATTAGCTCATTTTGCACTATAAAGATAATAATTATCTGTAAGATGGAGTGAGCAAATGATATTAAAGTTTGCACACAAGTTATATACCTGGGTCAAAGGTTATAAAGAAATTTCCCAAGCTTAAACTCGGATTAAAAGTATTTGATTGGTTAGAAACCAGCACAGAACATAATTATTCTGACCAATAGAAATCTGAGATTTGATACAGACCCCAGAAAAAAGTTTTAAAACCTCAAAGCAAGACCTTTATCAAATTGTTTATATTTCACCAAAAATTATCTCCAGGCCTTTCACCTTAAAAGTCTTCAGTGGAGTCCCTTTAACCTTCAGTTGTGTGTTAATATATTTCATTAGACAAGATTAGTTATAGAGATATTTAAAACTATGTCAATGCTTTGCTTTACTGTTTTATGCTTGTATATGTAATCTATGTATCACTTTTTCCCTCCAGGTAAATGGGAGCTAGACAGGAATGACTTAGAATTATTTGATGTGCTTGGGTCAGGTTGCTTTGGTGTAAGTAGTTTTGTACATAGTTATCAGTTAGAAATATTCATTGGCTTATATTATACTGTATAACTGTATATATAATGAACATCTTTAGTGATTATCTACTGTTTTAAGTATAATAACAAACCCGTTAGTATACCTATACTTCAGTGTTGTTACTTTTTACTAGTCTCTCATTGTTTCCAACACTTTTGTTGCAAATTGAAAACTGATCAAACCGGTGTTAGGGGGCGAGAGGGATATTGCCCTTTTTCATTATCCCTCATGTACAGACTCAAAAGGAGTCTGCAATTTTCATGTAATTTTGCCGATTTATATGCGTCCGAGTGATAACTTTTTCCAAATATTTAGTATACCCCAAGCAAATTTTATGCCACATAAGTTATTTCCCTTTTCCACATATCTAAGTGAGCTTCTATGAAGAACATGAATTGTAGGGCATTAATCACATTCAGAGACTTAGTTCTATTTTATTCTTAAGAAGACTTTACATGTTATATGACCATGTTTGCATGGTGGTTTGCCATATAACCCTTGTCTATGACAGGTTATATAATCTAAAACCATTTAAAATGAGCCATATAACTTGTCACACACAAAAATTGGTATGACTAAAGATAAAAACCATCTAGGTTTTATAGTCTAATGAGCCATATAACACAAAAAATGTTCATATAACTAAAGATTATATAAACCATATGTCTAACCTACATAAGAAATTTTCTGTTGCTTACGTTTTTTCCCTTTTTCTTGAAAATAAGTTTTTACTTTGTTTTACCAAAAGTATATATCAGTTTCTAAATCCTACACTAGCATTTTTAAACTTTTTGATCTACAACAGATCATTACTGAAGCCACTAGAATTACTTTATCAAGCAAACGTATAATTGATCATATCATTACAAATTCAAAAGATAGGCTAAGTCAATATGGTGTTATTTCTATTGGACTTAGTGATCACTTTTTGACTTTTTGTACAAGGGAAATCAGCAAACAAAGTTTCGCAAAACATTATTTCTCTAAAGTTAGATGTGTAAAAAATTATAGTAACGTTTTGTTTACTGAAAAATCAGGTCCAGCAGACTACAGTTAGTGTTTTTATCCTGATAATGTAAACATTTCATTGGTAGCTTTTAAAGATATTTTTTATGTCAGTGTTGAATGCCATTGCTCCTTTTAAGGAAATTAGATTAAAACAGAGAACTGAACCTTGGATGTCATCAGAGATTTTAGACCATATCAAAACAAGAGATCATTATTTATACAAGTTTAGAAAATATGGTTGCCATGAAGATTTTTCTTGTTATTGTAAATTTTTAGAAATGTTGTTCAAAGTGAAGTAAAACATGCTAAGTCTTCTTATTTTACTGATCAAAGTGCTAAAAATAGAGATAATCCAAAAGGCCTATGGAAACATTTAAAACAATAAGAATATATAAATCTATATAAATCCAAAACTGCAGAGAATGAAAATATAATTTTTTAAAAATTGATAGTGAAAATTGTCATAATCTTTTAAAAATTGCTAATCATTTTAATGACTTTTACTACTGTTGCTTCTAAGCTAGTAGATAAGTAACCTTGTGCTAGCAAATTGTTTGACATTGACTCACAAGCTTTGTTAGATTTTTATAATGATAGAAATATTAAGAATAATAAAATGTGCTGCGCTGTGACAAAACCAACATAATGGGTTTGCGACCAGCATGGATCCAGACCAGCCTGCGCATCCGCGCAGTCTGATCAGGATCCATGCTATTTGCTATCAGTTTCTTTACTTGTTATAGAGTTGTAAGTGAACAGCATGGATCCTGATCAGACTGCGCGGATGAGCATGCTGGTCTGGATCCATGCTGGTCGCAACCCATTATGTTGATTTTGTCATGACATGGCTCATTAATGTCATTGAAACATGTGTCTGAGACCTTTGCATACACAGAGCTTAAGAATTTAAACTCATCAAAGAGTACTGGTTTAGATGAAATTCCTGCTAGATTTTTAAAAGATGCAGCTTCCTTTTTGAAAATACCAATTACTTTTATCATAAATATGTCAATTTCAGAAAATTATGTCCCTGATGACATGAAAGTAGCTAAGGTAAAACCTTAATATAAAAAGAACAGTAATCTTGAAGTAGGAAATTATAGACCTGTCAGCATATAAAGCATAATGTATCAAAGATTTTAGAAAAATCAGTGTATTCTCAACTTGAATAGTTTTTAGTTGATAATGGTTTATTGTATGAATTATAGTCAGGTTTTAGAAATTTCTATTCCACTGACACTTGTCTTATCCATTTTATGGATCATATCAGAAGCAATAATTCCAAAGGTTTATACACAGGCATGATAATGTTAGATCTACAAAAAGCATTTGATACTGTTGACCACGATATTTTATGTTGAAAACTGAAATTGACGGGTATCTCTAATACTGACTGGTTTATGTCTTATCTTAAAGGTAGAAAACAAACTGTTAGTGTTGATAACATTTTATCAGATTATATGCCTGTTACATGTGGGGTTCCCCTGGGTAGGGTCCTGGGTCCTCTTTTATTTTTGTGCTTTGGAACATTGGAATTAGTATAGATGAAGAATGTTAACTTATTCTGTACACCGATGACAGTGCAATTCTTTTTGCTCACAAAAATCCAAGAGCTTGTTTCTAAAAAACTTGTACAAACACTAGAGTCTTGTTCATCTTGGCTTGTGAAAAACTGAATGCCTTATTTTTGGTTCCAAACGTAAACTGAAACAAGTTAAAGAGTTAATGGACAAACTATTGAATCCACAAAATCTGTCAAATATCTAGGTTTAAATATTGATGATTCTTTGTCAGGTGAATCTATTTTTAATAGTATTCTTACAAAGGTGAATTCACATCTTAAGTGTTTGTATAGTCGAGCAAATGTTTTAGATTTCAGGACTAGAAAATATTTATGCTCAGCATTAATACAGTGTCTTGATTATGCATGTTCTTCTTGGTACCCTAGTCTGAACAAGTGTTTTAAAGTAAGCTTCAAATTTGTCAAAATAAAATTGTTAGATTTATACGTGGTATTGGACCTAGAGACATCTTCAATAATAAAATCTTCCAGTTTCCAAAGTATATATCCAAGGACCCCATTGGAAATAAGCCTTCGGGCTTTCATGGGAAATAATGTTATTCTTGCAAAATGTCTTTATCAAATGTAGAAAACAGAAATAAGCAATTGTATCTTAATCATGTTTTTAAAATTGTTAATAACCAGTGCCCTTCATATATGAAAGAAAATTTTGTACCTGTTAGAGACATTCATTCTTATTCAACTCGGGTGAATCAGTACAATTTTTGGGTCCCAAGAAGTTATGTGAAAGATAATGTAACTTTTTTTCAAAAAGCAATTTATGACTGGAATTCCTTGCCTACATGCATTAAAAAAATTAATAAGATAGGAGATGACAAAAGCTCAGTGAAGGCCCATTTACTAGAACAGTTTGGAAATTATAATTAAATTTACTAGTATGACTAGATATTGATTTTCATTTTTATTGTTTTCCTTTTAGCAAAGTTAATAATATTAAAGTTTAATATTTTATTTATATGACATCTTCCAGTTTCTAAAGTATATATCCAAGGACCCCATTGGAAATAAGCCTTCGGGCTTTCATGGGCAATCCCAGGTTATTGCACAGTACTCTATACATGCTTCCACTTATGTCGTCACATTATATTAACTGGTAAATTGATATCTAGTCATAGTTAAAAAAGAGTTTTAGATTTTGTTCTTTATTATTATATTTAATTATTTAATGAGCCTCTTGTAATATTTATGTTTGACAAACTTCCGAAATATTTTATTACAATTGTGTCATCAGTTTTATATAAAATGCTTAAGTGATAGTATTATGTATATGTGTGTTTTAACCTGAATCTAAGTAAAGATTTGTTACAATAGATATAATGAAGACTCAAGTATTTTTTTTTAAATGCTGTGCCAAAATAAACAAGACATGTTGTACTGTTAAGATAAATAATTATAAGAAAGATTTTTTTGCCCTCTCAATGACAGATTATAGTATGTTTATCGATTTAACACTGTCTGTGTCTGTAGAAAACATAAATCTTGAGGCCATAATATCTATATTCTTTATCTTTAACTGATAATAAAATTGCCAACACAGTAATTTTGTAAAGTTTTTTGTATTGAAGTTGACAAAATCCATAAGATTGTACAGGATTTTCAAACAGATTTGCAATCCTATCGTCGGTTGAAATGCTTAAAAATTGGTTGTATTTTCAACCTGTAGATTTAAATATCCCCCCTAACCCTTGGACAAATTGGTTGTTTTTGTTGGCGTGTCAGTGTTGCCTCAGATAAAAATGTAAAATCCTGATTGTACATGTTTTATCTTTTTACTGTTCATTGGGACTTATTCATTATCTGTATTTAGTGTTGTTTAAAAAAAACAACCAAAAGAAGTATCTTGATAGCAATAGTTTTTATTAAAGCATATTATTTTTTCACTTTGTAACAATAACATTACATCTACTTAACCAATATACAGCTATATGTAAAGAAATATTTTTTATAGAATTATAGTAAATGTAAAATTGTTTTGCCTCTACAATCCTATGTCTGATTCTTGAAAAAGTTTTGTTATAGAATACCTTCAGGCTATGATGTTAAACACAAATGAAACAACCACTCCCGTGGTCATGCCGGATTAGAGTCTATGACTTCTAATCCAGTTACCTCTCTGGCTGGGGTTCGATCCCCGGGAGATGCTTGGTAGTTTAGCATGGAGGAAGGTAGTATAGTACTGGTGTAACTCTCCAGGAACGATGGTTAGGAAACTTAACCTGCCTATATGACTGAAATACTGTTGGGAAAAGGCTTAAAATGAAACAAACAAACAAACACTAATGAATATTGTGAATCACACAAAATAAAATGTTCTGGAACAAAATATTATGTTGCTATTCTAAGTACTAGGGTTTTAACTATTTAACAATACTTTTGAGCATGCATCATTCAGTCTGTAGGAAATATATAAATATATTACTTCCTTACAAGTATTATGGAAATATTTTTTTCTCCAAAAATACAGTCAATGTCAGCAGATTATGTTTATACACATGATAAAATTCAGTGCCCTGTACTGTAGGACATATGCACGGAAGGTTAAATCTGTGTAAATTTATAAGCTTAGTAACAAAACTGAGTTAAGTTTTGAAAATGAGGAAAAGATTACAACAAATTGAGTCCTAAGAACTTGAACCACTTGTTTTCTACGATCATTTGTCAGTTTTCATCCTCATTATGCATGCAAAGCAAAAAAAATATTCGGTTATACATGTATTGTGTGATATGATATAAGAAAAAGTACAATGTCTTCTTGGCCCTGTACAATAAATGTGAAATAAGCCAAATGTTTTAAACACTAAATTGATTTACAAAATGATATACATGTATTTATAGAATTGCAGATGCATGTATAACAATTTACTATTTTTAGATTTATGTGGTTATTACATGAACATTTTGTTAAATTTATAAATACAAGTACATGTATATTCGGAAAGTCTTTGTGATGTAATTTTGCTGATTTTAAATTCCAAGGTATCACTTTTTTATTCAGATATTTAGCCCTTAATTGAATTTCTTAACCCATTACTTCATTGACTAGTCAAGCCTTTTGTTTTCTGATGAAAATTAAAGCCAACAGTAAAGAGCCTGGTCAGACTGCACGGATGTGCAGGCTGGCCTGGCTCTATACTGGTGGCATAGGTTAATGACCTTGACGTAGGTTTAGTTATGATATAACAAATTGTAATTTTGTATATTTTTACAGACTGTACATAAAGGTAAATGGAATGGTAGAGTAGTGGCAGGTAAGATGATGAAAGAAAGGACCATGTCAGAGGATGCTTTCTTAGAGGAGGCCAAAACTATGACGTAAGATATAATATACAAAAAATAATAATGTTAACCTTTTTTTTTTTTAAATTTATGTTTTTTTAATTCATTTGAGGATAGTGTTGAGCATATAGTGCTCAGAGCAGAATTTAAGTTACCTGTTTCCAATTTGCAGGATAACTTATAAGATCAAGATATTTCAATAATCTGGCAAGTAAATCTTACTTTGGTTTTTGAAGTTTGTTATTGTTTATCCCAATTTAGTTGATATGATGTAAGATTGTGTTAACTTTTTTTGTCAATTTTTAGCTCACCTGTCACAAAGTGACAGGGTGAGCTTTTGTGATCGCTTTTCGTCCGGCGTCCGTCCGTCCGTCGTCCGTCCGTCGTCCCTCCGTCCGTAAACTTTTACTTTAAATGACATCTCCTCATAAACCACTAAGCCAATTTCATCCAAACTTCACAGGAATGTTCCTTTGGTGGTCACCTTTAAAAATTGTTCAAAGAATTTAATTCCATGCAGAACTCTGGTTGCCATGGCAACCGAAAGAAAAAATTTGAAATATCTTCTTTTAAAAAACCCAAAGAGCTAGAGCTTAGATATTTGGCATGAAACATCTTCTAGTGAGTGTCTACCAAGTTTGTTCAAATAAAAGCCCTGGGGTCAAAATTGGCCCCGCCCCAGGGGGGTCATTGTTTTTCCATATATGTATATAGTAAAAACTTAAATAATCTTCTTTCAAAAAACCCAAAGAGCTAGAGCTTAGATATTTAGCATGAAACATCTTCTAATGGATGTCTACCAAGTTTGTTTAAATAAATGTCCTAGGGTTAATATTGGCTCCGCCCCAGGGGGGTCATTGTTTTTCCATATATGTATATAGTAAAAACATAAAAAAATCTTCATTTTTAAAAACCAAGAGCTAGAGCTTAGATATTTAGCATCAAACATTTTCTAATGGGTGTCTACCAAGTTTGTTTAGATAAATGTCCTAGGGTTAAAATTGGCCCCGCCCGGGGGGGGGCCTTGATTTTCCTATATGTATATAGTAAAAACTGAAAAAATACTCTTTTAATAAACCCAAAGAGCTAGAGCTTAGATATTTAGCATGAAACATCTTTTAATAAGTGTTTACCAAATTTGTTTAAAAAAAGACCTGGGGTCAAAATTTGCCCTACCCCCAGGGGGTCATTGATTTACTTATATGTATATTGTAAAACTTAATATATTTTTTCTTTAAAAAAAACATAAAGAGCTAGAGATTAGATATTAATCACGAGACATCTTCTAATCAGTGTCTACCAAGTTTGTTCAAATACATGCCCTGGGGTCAAAATTGGCCTTGCCCGGGGGTCATTGATTTTCCCTATGAAAACTTAAAAAATCTTCTTTTAAAGAACTCAAAGAGCTATGGCTAAGATATTTAGCATCAAACAGTTCTAATAGGGTCTACCAAGTTTGTTCAAATAAAAGCCCTGGGGTCAAAATTGGCACCGCCCCAGGGGTCATTGATTTTTCCTTATATGTGTATAGCAAAAACTTAAAAAAATCTTTTTTGAAAAAACCCAAATAGCTAGAGTTAAGATATTAAGCATGAAACATCTTTTAGTGAGTGTCTACAAAGTTTGTTCAAAATAAAAGACCTGGGGTCAAAATTTGGCCCGTCCCGGGGGTCATTGATTTTCTTTATATGTGTATAGCAAAGACTTAAAATCTTCTTTGAAAAAAACCCGAATAGCTAGAGTTTAGATATTAAGCATGAAAACATCTTCTAGTAAGTGTCTACAAAGTTTGTTCAAATAAAAGCCCTGGGGTCAAAAAACTGGCCCCGGCCCCAGGGGTGTCATTGTTTTTAACTATATGTGTATAGTTAAAACTTTAAAAAAAATCTTCTTTTAAAAAGCCCAATTAGCTAGAGCTTAGATGTTTAGCATAAAACATCTTCTTATGGGTGTCTACCAAGTTTGTGCAAATAAAAGCCCTTGGGTTAAATTGGCCCTGCAACGTTGGGGGGGGGGGCTATATACAGGTGAGCGACCTCAGGGCCATCATGGCCCTCTTGTTGTGTTTTTAACTGACTTGAGCAAAGCTTTGAGCATAAAGTGCTCAGAGCAGATTTGCAGTTACCTGTTTCCATTCTGCATGATTACCTAAAGCTCAAAGTATAGGGCATTAAGTTAATCGTATATTTGTTGATAATGTTTCACATAGTTTATAGTTTAAGATATTCCAGTATAAAATTAAAATCATCAATGAATGGATAAGATTCAAAAATAAAAAATGAAATAATATTAATTCGTTTAAACCCCATTAATTACTTGAAATTATTAAGATTTATTGTTTTGTCATTATACACAATTATTAAATTTGTATCTTATAAGTGAAATAAGTACTAAATAAGCCACTGTCAATCAAGACAATATAGTAGCAGTGGGCTGGTAATTGACTTGGTGATTAGCCCAGTTTGAGCTTGTGCCAAATATCTGTGTGTCAGTTTGGGTCATCGAAATTGCTTTGAATGTCAACATATGTGAAAAGTTACTAGTATCTTTTTAATTCTTTATTTTTTGAAATTAGACTTTATTGTAGTTTGAATATACTTTGTGCTGCCGTTTTTTGCACTCTGCTGTCATCAGTTTCAGTATATTGTTTCTATAATATGTCACACAATTAATTATTAATGCTTCTATATAGGCATCAGAAATGTTTGTTCTTAAAATTTCCTGATATATATTTTTCTAATATTATACATGTAGTTTCTTTTTTGTTTCAGTCAACTCAGTCATCCCAATCTAGTACAGTTGTATGGTGTAGTAACTAAATCCAAACCTTTAATTATAGTCACTGAATTGATGCAATATGGTAGGTTTATTTTATAATTATCTCTTTAATATACTCACCACTGTGGGTTTGAATCCCGACAGGGACCTTATATTCTTTCATGTGAGGAAGCTATCCTGCTAGCTTACGGAATGTTGGTGGTTCTACTCAGGTGCCTGTTTGTGCCTGAAATAATGCACTGTATGGCACCTGAGGTCTTCCTCCACCAGTAAAGCTGGAATGTTGCCATATTACCTATACTGTGTCGGTGTGATGTAAAACCCAATCAACAAACAAACAAACTCTTTAATATATTTGACAATATGATTTTATACCATTAGAAGGGTTAAAACACCTTTTTTCATACATTAGAATCTTAAGAAGCACAAGATGCATTAAAAGCTGGAGCCTGCGGGACGTGGGATTATTAAGTCTGGGGGCCAAATCGAATTTAAATTACATTTGTAATTTGTATCATTAAAAAATACAGAAATACACAAAATGTCATGTATTTATAGTAATTTTTATTGAAATTCCTGTTTTCAGGCGCCCTATTGACATATTTAAAACGTCACAAACATGGATTATTAAACAAAATTGGAACACTTGTTGACATGTGTATACAAGTGTGTAGTGGAATGGAATATTTAGAAAGCCGTAGTTTCATACATAGAGACTTAGCAGCAAGAAATTGTTTAGTAGGAGATAGCCAAATAATCAAGGTGGCAGACTTTGGATTAGCCAGGTGAGGTTTTAGTACCGTGGTTAAACTTTATACTTATGTATACAAAACAGACTGCAGAAGTATATGTATGATTATATACAAATGATAGCACTTTAAGCTTAAAAAAGATACTTGGTTTGATTGGTCCCAATAAAGGACTTAAAAGAAGTTCTCTTCTCGTATCTGAATGAAAAGTGTAGAATCTGATGTATAAGAATTTCCTCTTTTAAAATTTTTTTTTATATAATTGTTCCCTGCCTTTTTGAAGTAAAATTGGGGGATCTGAAATGGGCACCATTCACCTGTCTGTTTATCCATCCATCTATCTGTCTGTCTATCACACTATCGTGTCCGGTCCATAACTTAGCCATTCATCAAAGGAATTTGAAATAACATGATACAAATGTTAGTAAGACAATGTGTCATGTGCAACACCCAGACTCCTAACTCAAAGGGGAAGGTCACAATTGGTGATTGAAGGTCAACATTGTCTGTTGGAGTATATATGTCGTGTCCGGTCCATAACTTTCACATCCATCAAGGGCTTTTGAAAATACTTGGCACAAATGTTCACAATAATATGTGTAATTCTCAACATCTGGACCACTACCTCCTAGGTCAAGGTCACATTTGGAGGTCAAAGCTTATCATGGTGTGTTACAGGGTATGATGCAAAGTCAGGTCCAAGCAAATAAAATATCATTGGTGAATTGCCCACATACATTGATCAATGAAAAAGTTTGGGACCGAAATATACCCTATAATAGACCATACTCAGTATTGCTTTTGTATTTGTTATATTTTATTTTGTACATGTCACATTTTATGGTTTTGAAAAGGTGTTAACAACTATAGAAATGTATTTCTGGTGGCACATACACAGGAGTTATTTCATTCTGATCCTTTAATGAATTTTTTGTTGCATGTGCAGATCTAGCATTGATCAAGATTTTGCACTGAATGTCCAGATCCATACCTTAATCTTTTGAAATAGCACAATTGTGTGCGTCATGTGAAACTTCCCTTAGGTGGGGACATAGGTAACTTTGTTACAAATTCTTATTTTATATCTTGTAAAGAAAAGAGTTTTTTTTAAAAGTTGGGTGATTACCGTGAAGATGTTTTGGCAGTTAAATAAGATGGTAGGTAAGCACTCAAAACAAATTTCTTTTAAATTTAATAATTGCCCTGTTGAATTTGTGTAATTAACTTGTCACGCATAACATGTCAGAAAAGAATATTTTTAACTCGGAGTCACTCTTTTTGACTCGGAGATTCACGGAGTCTCGCGGACAAAATTGTCACTCGTTTTTGTCTCGGAGTCACTCTTTTTCACCCGAGAAATTTATAATCCACTCGGAGTCACGCTTTTTGAGATTACTCGATACTCGCAGAAATTTGCATATTCCTCGATATCTGTACTGTACATTGTAGCTTTGGAACTTGTTGATTAAAACATATTTTCATTTGTCTGAAGGCATGCTGCTTTGAGTAACAAATAATTAGTTTGTTTTTGCACTATTCTCTTAGAATCATAGAATTTACAACAAAAACAATATTATTGATAGATATGAAGGAGACTGTATGAAAAAAACTACATTTTCCCATTACAAACTATCTGTAAATCTTTTATTTCAGATATGTAATAGATGATGAATATACTAGTTCTACGGGAACAAAGTTCCCTGTGAAATGGGCACCACCAGAAGTTCTCAGTTATACCAGGTTCAGTAGCAAATCAGATGTATGGGCATTTGGTAAGTTCCAAGTGTTATACTTCCTGTATTATTCCACCAAAACTGAGGACAGGGGCTGGGGGGTGGAGGTTTGTCCGTCTGTCATTCTGTTGTGTCAGTAGCCTGACCAAACAGCATGTCTTATGGACGCGTTTCTAGTTTTGTTATGAAAATTAATGTAATCATGAATATGTATCAGGTTTCTAGCGTGACTTTTTCAAAGAAGTGTATGACTATCCTACTCGCCCAGGTATAAACATTATAGTTTAGTTAAAGTTTTATGTGCAACTTCTGATTGTCAAAAAATTGGAGCATGCTGTCCACAGATAGTTTTTGTTAAAACTGCAGATTTATTTTTAAAATTTTTTGAAATGTGGTATAATTGTTAGTCCCCTTTCAAATCCCTAACTCTTGCTGAATTTTAATGAAAATGGTCATTTGT